CCCACTCACAGACTCGTGGCTTGGTCCTGCTGCACCGTGGTCCCTGGAATCCTGATTTCCAGGTACAAGTAAAGACCTGCTGTATTTTGTCATCGGCCACCTTCTTTATATGCGCCTGTTGTTTAAGCCAAGTCATGCTCAGTGTTTGCTTTCTGAAGAAAATGATTGTCCTGAGGGTAGAGTTATTTCTCAGGATAATCCGGCAAAAAGACATGCGTGAGCCAAGCGATGAATTCAAAGATTAAAAATCCCTTATGCCTCGTGCCGCTCGTCAACGCTCAGCCATCTGCGTGGGCTTCTGTAGGAGGAGCCGAAAGTGGAGCAGATCCTCAGGAAAAAAACACACGTTTGTAATAAATCGTGCACGTGTTTTAACAAAACAAAGCTTTATTAATTGCAGCACTTTCAAGTAGCATTTTCCCTCTCCCGAAAGTGGCACTTCAGGCTTCCAGAATCAGAACACCACAGTGCATCAGGTTATGAAGACATCCTTCTTGCAGAAGGAATCGGCTGTGTTAAGCAACGTGCATCAGAGGGGTTTTAAGCGACTTGGTTACTTTTCTGTTCTGCTTTCACTGGTCACCCAGCCCTCAGCAGTGTTTCCTTTCAGTTTTCTGAGAAACAATGTCAAGCACCCTTCACTCACTCCTGGCCCCGCGCTGCCCACAGCATCTCTGGCACTGCCGATATCCATCCTAAATAACTGCACTGAAACTTCTGTGAGTTCTGATAATAACAATATTCACGGGTTTTCGAAGTGAATTACTGCAGCCGAAGGGGTTAGGAGATTTTTAAAGATTTTTAACAGTTATAAGAGCTCAGTATTTTCATCTCTTAGAGCCAGTCAAGCGCATCTGCGTTATTATTGCCTGATTTTTGACATAGAAGCCAAGATTCAGCCTTTTCCCAGTGTAGCGAGGATCGTGGATAAGCTAAAAGAGAAGAAGGAAAGGAAGACGGAAGAGTGTCTAAAACAGCTCTGGAGATGCTAAATTGGGTATAGCCGTGTAAAAAAATGTTTTCATCGGAGTATATGTCAGAAAAAATGCACTTGAGCGATCTCAGAGATCCTAACGTAAGGTGCGTACTCCTCGGACTGGGATATTTGCCTTTCACTCAGGTGGTGCTCACTTTATCTGCATGTAAAAAACCTCTTTTTTTTTTTTTTTTTTTTTTTCCATTTAGTCTGGCTGCGGTGCAGACAGGCTGAAAGAGAGAAGGACCTCCCGCTGCCAGCCCCAGCAGCACGGCGGGTGCACCCGGTTTCACTGCCTCTTTTCTGGGTGTTGCCTTTCGGTCAAGTTCATCTTGGTGAAGGCAGGAAAAAGCAACCTTTGGGACCAACTACTAAGAAAGTGTGATTGCGAAATTTAGAAACTGGCTGGTGAGCAAAGCAAAGAGCAGGAAACTCCTCCACACTTGCCGCTTGCCTTAGGCTTGTGAAATCTGATCTTCAGGTGACAGCTCCTGTGCCTCTCGTCACCTCGGACTACAGGCCACTCAGAGAAGTGGTCACAGCTCCCGTCTTCAGCTCTAACAGTCCAAGTGCCAAGTCACTGCTACCAGCAGGGCACGTCAGACTTTCACTGGTACCAGTTTGAGTGTGAGGACTTACTGCAAGTTGAACAAGGGAAGGTTAGAGATGAAATCCATCCCGCTTGGGTTTTGTGCCTTCTTCATGTCCATGGTCAAAGGCTTATTGCTGTGTTCAGGCTGGCAAGGTGTATTGGAGGTCTGGAAGCTTGATGGAGGGAGGCTGTATGTTGCATTTTGGCTATTAACTCTTGGGGTTTGGCTTATTTTGCTTTTCTTTCCACCTTCTATGATCTGTGGATTGCAGAACTTATCGCAGAAGTTCGGTCTCTCAAAACCACAGCCTTTAAATGAAGCTGGAGGCCATCTCCCATGCAGGACTAACTGCAAGTGCCTATGTCCGCTTGCGTGTTGGGGAGTGTCTGAGCTATCGGGACTACTTTAGGTTTTACTGATAACCTCCCAGTGCTTTGAGGAGACCCCAGGAAGCACCAGCTGGGTAACAGCTCTTCTACATCTACCCAAGCCCCAACTACCCAAGCCCCAACGCGGTCAAGGGACATTCATGGCCCTGGTCTTCTGCACCCCTGCCAACGGAGCTGGAACAGCACTGCTAAGCCCCGCACACCCCTCCCTGCCTCCAAAACCACGGCCACTGAAATCACTGCTGGTCCCTCTG